CTTCTCTATGAAAAATTACTTATATATGTCAAGTTTCATCACGATCGGTTGAACGATGTAGAAGTTTATCACTTACCAACCAACCAACCAACAAACAAACATCCAGTTTTAGATTATCTCATAACAAAAATGAAAGGGTATCGAAATTTCCTCTGCTTTTTTTTATATTGAACAAAATGAACGCGGTACGGCCAAAAAACTAAATTTGACAATTCTAGTTTTTGGCGAATATTCAGAAAATAACCACTGATATTCTGGGTCTGAAAAGAGATTATTCTAGTTTTCCAAAATAGAAAGCTTATCTACTGACCTTGTAGGTCTTACTGTTTCCGAGATTGTAATAGAGGGATAAACTAAAGAAAAACGGCCTGGAACTTGGAAGAATGATGAAGTGCAGTTCCACAATGTTGCATTCACATACAAAATAAAAAGAAAATCAAAAGAAGTACTTTTCTCATGAGCTGCATTATTTTTAAAGTGATTGAAACCCAATTTTCAATTAAATTTTAGGCAATAGATGCATTTTCAGCTAATCTAATTTCTCGTGATCTTCAAGAGAAAGATTAAACAGTTTGATAGCATTCCTCTTGAACACTTTAATGAAATGAATGAAAACACTTTTGTCTAATTACCACTGGTTGATTTCATTTATATGACTGGTTTCGAGTTTAACCCCATTATCAAGTGGTTAAACCCTATTCAGTATAGAAAATTATCCCAGATTCCTATCTGATGCAACTTTCGTGGAATATGCATATGCTAGTTTTATTATTACTTACTTAAATTACTTAAATCACTTTGTGATAACCCACCTCATTATCTAAAGTTGATCTAATTTTTTTATTCACTGAAAAACATTTTCTGATGCAATTTTGAATATAGTTTCAACTCACAATGACCTTGGAACAATATGTGATAAGATGTGATTTCCTATATTCTGATGATTCTGTTACAAAGTTCATATTTACTCACCCTTTTTTGTTTTAGTTGTTCATTGAATGCCACATGTTTGTCTTCAAAATTGTTATGTGGAATTTAAATAACCTCAGTAACTTCAAATAACCGATTTACAAAAAAATAAAATCAAAGCCCAGTGATATTTTTCAAAAATATAAGAAAATGAACGTTGAATATTTCGTTCATTAACATTCAAATCAGAATTGTTCTTAATATCTACAGTTCATATCCTTAATATCATTCCATTGTATCTGTGCCTCGTATAAGCATTATAAGTGTTACCCCTATTCAACATATTACTGGACTGTTGTTACGAAAATTGCCGAGACACGTCGATTTTTGATTCCTACACTGCACATTTTTGTATTAATAGTTCACCCCTAATTTCATCCCATACTGAAGGGGAGCAACCCTGTCGAAAGCATGGGGTGGTGAGTGATAGTCCATCTGAAAGGGGGGTTCATTCTCTATTCAACCGTGAAAAAAATTTAACAACAAACAGGAGGCAACTAAACTAACACTTACTTTTTCTGTTATTACAGTAAATGTTCAGAATGTTCACCGTTGACCTCCTGGCAAAAATAGTGTCTATTTTTAGTTTCAGTCCTGACGCTTTGCAAAGTATCACGAGTAATTGTTGCACAAACTCACGTAATCTGCGCACGCAACTTCTGAATAGAGTGACACTTAGTCTCGTGGGTCTCTTGTGGGCTTCTTCAATGGCCAGAGTTTCAAACTCTGGCAATATTATGAAGGTGTCGTCAAATATCTCAACCAGACTCGAGGTTTCTTGTAGGCTTCTGCAATGGCCAGAGTTTCAAACTCTGAACACAAGAAACCTCGAGTCTGTTTGAGATATGTTGACGATACCTTCATGAAATGGAACCATGGGAATACTGAACTAGGCGCCTTCCTGAAACACATCAACAGCATAAGATTTTCCATCACTTTCACAATGGAGAAGGAAATCCACAACGAATTGCCATTCTTAGACGTTTTGGTGAAGAGGACCGACACTAAGTGGGAAACATCTGTATACCGAAAACCCACTCACACAAGACAGTATCTGAACCACGAATCCAACCACCATCAATCGACTAGAAAAGGAATCATCAAGACTCTTTTAGACCGTGCTTTCGGGCTCTGTAATACGAAGGAAGGTCTCGAGAAGGAACTCATCATCAAAAATGATCTTCAACGGAATGGCTACTCCAAAGCGATGGTAGAAAAGACTTTGGCTAAAAGACAGCAGGAGCCTCGCAAGGAAGAGAAGCCGTCACAACCAGGGCAACCAGGGCCCTACATCAGAGAATTATCGGAGAGGATACGAAGAATCGATTCCAAGTACAACATCAGAACCTGCTTCAGATCTGGTAACACTACCAGTAGCAGCCTCACGGAAACTAGGCCACCAAACGCGGACTGCGATTCGAAGAATTGCATTTACCGGGTACCCTGTAATCATTATGGAAATTAGCTAATAGAAAGATTCACTAAAAAGTCAAAATCAAAGATGGCACTTTTGATCCATTAATAAGTTTAAAATTGTGAAGATAACATCTGCCTCTTGCAAATTCACCACAAAAATGATAATTTGTGAACGTTATAGGATACATGTTTTCAAATTTCTGCTATCCATCATCATGAATAAGTTTTCACTTCAGGAATCGTTCTTCAATTCCCCCAATTTTAAATCCGTACGGAATACTTATATGAAAATATAAAGTATTACTTTGAGTATTTTAGATCTCCCATGTAAATTTTTTCGTAATTGTAGAAAAAAATTTTATTACATGCTTCAAACATTATTTTTTTTATTGTACATAAAAGTTTTTTCAGCTTTTTGTTGAATCAAAACCAGCAACTGCTCAATCAAATTACGCCGAAATCAACTCTCGATCTGCTTCTACCTCTGAGTGATGTTGATTGCCAGGCAATTATGTGTTGATTGTTGATATATATTCTTGATAACTGTGCAAATTCATTGTTATGTTAAACATAATGAGGCCACTTGTATTCTGAAAATACTTCATCCTTGAGATCGTTGCAACTTATAATGGAAAAACTGTGTTTGAAAGCAAATTATATTCTGCCACAAAGTATATATGTGTTCAGAATATAAAGAGAATTCTCATCGTCAACTCTGTGGTGGTAGGTGGTCCGAACAAATTAACCTTTTCATTTTCTGTATGTTAATT